TGGTGCTATTGCCGATAGTGGAGCAAACAACAAGGGTGGAGAATCTAGAGAAGTACAAGATGGTACTTGAGAGGATAGTCTCGCAGCTCGCAGATGAGACGAGGATGGTAATGGGGATAGAAAAGGGAAAGCCAGAGGAGCTAGTTACGGCGACGGGAGTATCTAATGACTCGGTAACGACATGGACAGGTGCCACGCTGAATGAGCTAGGAATCAAAGGAGAAGTGACCGAGATAGAAAAGCCGTACCCTGCGAATGTGTACATTGAGATGGCAAGAATAGTGGCGGAATTGGCAGCGTGGGGAGGAGATGCGTACCCGGTACAAAGGGGCGACAGGAGGAATATGAGAAGAAGCACGCAGGAGGCGATGCTAGATGGATCAGCGATCGATAGAGGAAACGGGATAGAGTATGCGCTGTGGGCGGAACAACACCACGGAGGAGGGATAGCCTGGTCTAGGATCAGAAAAGAAGTCGACGAGAGATCTTTGTATAGGCTCAGGAGAGGCGACGAGTACAGAATCGCTTACTTGTCACAGTTTTACGGGATAGAAATCACCAGCAAAATATATAGATGTCCGAAGACCAAGGAGCTGAAGGTGGGCATCCCATTGGCAGTGAGACCCACGAGTGGCATGAGGATGCCGAGGAACGTGGCGATGCTGAAGAGTTGGGCTGGAGACAGAGTGGAGGGACAGAAAGAAGAGCGGGAATCTCTGTGGTTCAGGCTGCACCCGGCTGATCTTCCATGCACCGGATACATGGTGGTGGGTGACGCGCAGTGGCAAGAATACGCGAAGGACGGGATAGTTTGGCCAGAGGCAGGGCATAGCGGAGTGATAGTGGAAGGATGGCATCGGGACGACATGAGGAATCCTTTGCGAGGGTCGCAGATGACGCTCAAGGCACACTGGACGAAGTACTCTGTTGAGCCATCGGACGTGAGCAGCATACATGGGCTAGAATTTCCACAAGGAGGGATGCCAGAATGGCTATACGACTCGCTTAGATTGGCGGCTGTGCGAGGTAGGAGAATCGGAATAGCGATAGACATGAGGATGTTCACACTAATCGGAGGCGACGTGGTGGTAACAAGAAGTGGGCGCTTCATGCTCCTCGGGCCCGTGCCAATGGCATGTTGGAAAGCAGTTTGGTTCGAGGACACGTACACGGCTCTGTACATGCGCGATTGCGAGCTGGACATGTTAGCCGATGAAAGAGGAGACTCACAAGTGAACAGGGATAGACTGTCAAAGACATTGGGGACAGATGAATACCGTGATAGAGTGAGATGGATAATGTCGGAAATGACGGAGGAGTGCGTGCATTGCCTGGCATGCCACTGTAGAATGGCGAAAGGGATAGTGATCTGCCCGATGTGTTGCAAGCCTATGCCATCCTACCCGGACTACCTGATGGGGATGAATTTGTGGGAAATCACGGATAGAAACGCGACTATGGGAAGAAAGACGATATGGAAGACCAAGCTACAGGAAGCCCTCGACCGCGCAGGGATTAAAATCCCGTTCAGAATGGTGGCCGAAAGGATAGACATGATAGAACGGGACGTGGTGGCAGGGATACTGGCGAGCTTGAACCCCGCAGAAGACTGGTACTTAGGTTTTAGGGCTGGATTGTGGCCTGAGTACGAGATCGCAGCGTCACGACCGGGGGTATACAGGTTCGCTATGGAAGAGGCGGCGATTCATGCGATGATGTTGGATAGAGAGCTGGCAACATCATTCGGGAAGATTCTGAACTTCGAGTACAAGCAGAGTGGCACAGATCACTCGGGAATAGTGGATGCGTCAGATTTCCAGCAAGCCCTTGAGACGGTTGCGGCACGCGCTGTAGTGACAGCGAGGCAGAGGTTCTTCTCCATGCATGCAGGGTGTCTGAGGAGAGGAGGACAGTTTATGAGTTATCAGCTGCTGATAGCTATGGCTGCAGGTTTTAACTCGCCGTTATGGGGGAACAACGCTTGGGCGAAAAGCACGAGGGACCTGATGGTGCAGACTGCAAATGGTTGTCTGGAGATCATGGAGAGGATAGTTGCAGAAACAAAGCGAGATCCCACTCAACCCATGGCGAAGCACATGAAGTTTGACACCGAAGGGATACCATTCAACGCGACATGGGGAGAGATTAAGGGGAAGAAGAACAAGCTTCATGGATATAGCCATGCTGCTGGATCTGCTATTCGGAACCTAGGGCTACGAAGGGAGAGATCGGAGACAGGACCGGTGAATGAGGTATACCGGTGCTCAGTACCGATGGGAGGAATGATGATGAACTGGGCTTCGATGGGAGTAGCCGGACATTCTCGTGACGAGGCGCAGCCGGAGGCGCGTGCGGCTAATGCGGGCACGGCATATCCAATTGCCGGGGTAAGCCTAGTGGAGCTGAACGAGAAGGGGTGGCCAAGAAGGATAGAATCGAAAGGTACGAGAACCGTCGATGTGGAGCTTAGGGACGAGACGGGGAAGAGACAAGAGCCACTGACCAGGGCAGAAAGTTCGAGTCCAATCCAACTGAAAGAGAGAGGTGGGGCGAGAGCCGATGGTGCTGAGCCCAAAGCGAGGACCCGATCACCTCTGGATAGGGAGAGAAGAGATATCATCAGGTGGCCGAAGTACGCCATGAGTGATGATAGTTCGGTGAGAAGCTCATCACGCGGATGGGGAAAAGGGCGGGATAGGGATAGAGCCGATGATCGAGGAGGCAGATACGGATGGATGCCAACTGTACCCAGGTTTGCGGAAGGGACGAAGATGATGGATAGAGGAAGAGGAAAGGGCTCTCTGCTAGAGAGAACTCGGGCACAAAGAGGTGGCCACGTCACTGGTCCCGAAACAGAAGACGAGTCAGCGATGAGCGAGGCGCTCAACCCGGAATTCAGAGGCACTGAGACGACATCAACCAACCGGGCAAACATGGGCGTTGAGACGGGTGACGATGCAAGTGATGCATCTGCGGGTGATCCTGTGAAAGGAAAGGGAAAGCATGGAAGGCCGCTGATGTGGAGACCGCGACGTGATCGCCAAAGAGATGAAGCCTGATGAAATGGCGACAAGCGGGGATAGGACGAAAGCACAAAGCTGCCTAGTCACCAATGGCTCGGCGTGAGGGATAGAATGGGACATGCAAAGTCATGTGCCCGGGCCATGGCTGGTGGCGCACGCGGGGGGATAGAGCGGATGGATGGCGCAGGATGAGATGAGTGGGTGAACGGCTGTCGTGAGACTCTGGTGCAGGGCTTGGCTAGCCACCAATAAGACCCTGCGGCGGAAGCTTCTGGGAAGGCATGGCTCGCCACCAATAAGAACTTCACATGAAAAGACCAAAAGATAAAGGTGTGGAGAGGATGAAAGATCAGAATGGGCATGGCTAACCACCAGTGAGTCCCCACGGAGAAGATCGCATACAAGAATGAAGGGATAGAAGCGTGGGAACTACATTGACATCGAGGGGTACTGATCAAAAGTGAGGCCTTACCCAGGATAGCTATGAAGAAGATGAACTGAGTCGGGCGATGAAGTGGATAGAAGCGACGCTTGATTTTCCAGGAGTGCGACGGATAGACAATTTTACTACATAGAATAGACGCGAGGGCACGAAGTGTAGCCAAGAGCCACGGACTGGTGGTTTGTGCTACTGCGATGAATGTCGAGGTTAGCGGATGGCGGTGTTGCTTCCGAGGATAGCTGGAGTGATCGCCGTAATCGCGGGTGGTGGTGGGCGCCCTAAAGGGGCTGGCGATCAGGTCGGCTATGCCTCCTACGTTCTTGTTTTACCTGAAGCTAACCGGGATAGAAGTCGCGAATTCATCGATTTTCTGACCGCTGAGTGCGTCCCGAAAACGGGGGGTGTTTAGCACAAAGAGGTCAGGTCAATTCCATGGGGTGCTAGTTTGACTTGTACATGTATTTCGGGTTCGGACCCATTCTTGAGGCAGGACATTGGATAGTGCACCGCCATCGTCGAGGACGAGATGGGATAGAAAAGATTTCGTGTCCGCCTGCAGCCGAGAGCTGCTCAAGAAGGGCCCTTCTTAGTACTGTAGCAGCCAGTATTGTACAGTTTTCGCCCCCGTGGATAGTGTTCCTGTACGTTGTGGACTTGATTGGCCAACTCGCATCCGGAGGAAAGAGGAGCCAAAAGGGTCGGGCGTTGACGAGGAATAGATCCTTTTCCCTAACCTTGGGATAGTTATCTGTTCTCTTTACAACTCATAGCCGGAGGCCGGAGGATACTGAGGGCAGGTGGCTGTTCAGGTGAATATCGGGATAGGTGTACAACACGCAGCCGGACGGCTAGTGGATACATCTAGAGCGATAGGTTACCACCCCCTGGAGATAGCAACTCTGGGGATCCTTCCGATAGTTAACGTCGGGAGTGGCTCGGAACGATTGGCTAGCTACCTTGAGTTCCCCGTTGACAGGGATACTGTTACTTCTGGTGCAACATTACAACCTACAACTGTAAATATACAACTTCTTTCTCCTCGTGTGGCCTGAGCTAGTTACTGGAACGGGTTGCGCAAGTTTTCATTGGTTTGGACACTTCGCACAGTTTCGGACACTACTACATTAGTGACTCGTGGTGTATGATGACATGGGAGTTTCCAGAATTCGCTAGGGCCCCTGTCGATATCTCCCCCCCCCCCCCCAGTTTGAGAGAGGGGATATCCGAACCAGAAATTCCTCAGCTGCATTGTTAGCTGCAGAAGTCAACCGGGGAGTGCGGCCAATTCTGCCCCAAAAGCTGAGGCAATTGGCGCGAGTGTGTCTTGGGCGTCGGGCTCTACGTTCACCCAAGGAGTGGTGGCTTTGCACCTGACTGGACACACTGGTCGTGCCCTTTCCTTGCTCCGTCAACACAACCTCGGAACTCACTAGCCCCGAATTCTCCGAGTTCCCCTGATCACCCTCACTAAGCTTGCCCTAGACCCTCAAAAACCCCAAACACCCAAGCCTCAAAGCACTTACCGAACACCGAACATGCGTGAGGACTTGCCGCGAGCGACGGGCACGTATCCCTCCAGAGGTTGACCTCGCAACTGAGTTTCAAGTAATTGGGCACCCCCCCCCCCCCCCACCACCCCAAAAACAGGGTTGAGGGTTCAGGGGCTGAACCCGAACCATGGCCCTGAACTTTCAGGATTTAAGGTGGATTCTGCTGTCTCACGGCGGCAAGGACGCGGTCGATTACTGGGGTTGCAGAGCCCGCAAGTGCGCAACAGCTTCGTCAGCTTCGCTGCAAAAGCCCCGGCACCAAACCTTACACTCTGAAGCCCCGAACTCATCCCTGGCCTTCCCTCCTGCCCAGGTGTTGGACTACGTGTCTGCTGAGGCCTACAACCTGGGCGTGCGAAGCTCCGTGCAGCGAGGCCCCGTTCGGGTTGCGGATTTTTGGGTCTGGCCTTCCATCTCGGAAGGCCCTACCCAAACCTTGCAACGTGTGCCCAGACCCCAAAGCACTTGACCCCATTGGCTGAATCCCCAAACAGGGCCAAGAGAAGAGTTCGAGCAGAAGTTGCCCTGTCTGTCCCTCTTGCCCCAGCCCTTCCGAGAGCCCACATCAGCAAGTGCTCCGATAAAGAGTGTGGCCGGTCCATGCTTTCCGCCTCGGGCGCGCTTTTCCCAGTTTTTTTCGAACGCATGGGCCGGGTGGTTGTATATTCTGTAAGGCAGTGAAGGGTACGCAAATGGCATTATACACACCCAGATGGGCAACAAGGTGGGACGGTGGGACTGTTTCGGAGCAGATTTCGGTTCGGAGCAAGTTGTTTCCGTGCAGTTTTGCCCTCCTCCAGAAATTTGACTGACCCTAATTCTTAAACCCTAAACCCTAAACCCTAAACCCTAAACCCTGTGTCAAAAAGAAGCCCCGAACCTCCCAGCTGCCCAGGGTCCGACTGGGACGCGGAGGAAGCCCAAGAGCCGGCTGAGGTCCTCAGGCCGGGGGGGTGTAGGGTTTGGGGTTTGGGGTTTAGGGTTTAGGGTTTAGGGTTCAGGGTTTGGGGTGTGGGGGGGTGTGGGGTGTGGGGGTGTGGGGTGCAGGGTTCGGGACGGGTTGGAGGGACATTTGGGATCTCCCAGCAAAGGGATGTAGGGTTTAGGGTTTCGGGCTGGGACTTAGAGAAGGCCCTTCATCCCCTTTTTGGGGGCTTAGGTTCCCTCATATGCCATTTAAGCCAAAAAGGAGCGCCCTTTTGTATTCCTAGGCTACTCTTGGGTTTGGTGGGGTGCAGAATCTGGGGAGGGGGGGGGGGGGGGTTCGGCTTACGCGACTCACCAATGGCAGAGAGTTGCGGGGCTTCGGCCTCGGGGCAGGGCCCTGAACCAGTATCACAGCATGTGGCAGCCCCCGAAACCCTAAACCCCAAACTCCAAAACCCTAAACCCTAAACACGAAACCCTCTTCCCTTTAAACCCTAAAAACCCAAAACCCTAAAAACCCAAAACCCTAAACCTTAAACCCTAAACCCTAAACCGCTGAGCCCTCCTGAACATCTCGGTCAGGTCCACAGTGAAGCGCCGCAGCTTGGAGGCTTTTAGCTGGTGACCTTGGGGGTTTAGGGTTTAGGGTTTAGGGTTTAGGGCTTAGGGCTTCGGGTTTAGGGTTTAGGGCCCGGATGGGGGGTGCGGTGGGTTGTTGCCAGAAACTGTGGCCCTGTATAGGTGCTTCTTTATGCAAGAAGGATCGGAACAATGCCCCTCTCTAAACCCTAAACCCTAAACCCGAAACCCTTGGGCTTAGATTGTAGATTCCGGTTGTTGGCTGTCCGCGAGGTTGTCTGGTTGTCTATAGCTTCAGGGTGGCAATGTAGGCTTTGGATCTGTTTCGTGTGGCTAAGGTATCAACGCCTGGCTCCCGCTGCATCTTGATGGCAACGGGGTCATGCGGCATGCGTAAATGCACTTGTTACTGGCACCAGTCGGAAGATGTTTATAGGCTCGAGTCTATCCGTCCCGCGACTCTCGGAAAGGTTGAACCAGTTGAGCTCAAATCGCAGCTTCTCCAAGTGCTAGCCGCTAGTCTCGACATGCTCTTTCGGCTCAGAGCTATAATAAGGGTGTGCGAGCGTCTTAGAGATGAGGCAGCAAGAGGCCGCCAGCCAGATGACCGAGAAGAGATATGCCTTGATTGAGGTAGAGGTCACTCAAATGAGCGGCGAAGCCCTCGCCAGCCTCTCCCTTCGCGGCACCTGTGTCATCAGAGATGTTAAGCTGAAGCTGGAGAGACAGCAGGGCATCCCACACCAGCAGGCGCAGCTGGTTGTTCCAGGTGCCTTCAACAAGCTGGAGGATCACAAGACCATCGCAGACTGTGGCGTGAGCGGCGGGAAGCTTCTGCTGATCCTGGTCCGAAACTCGGGCTTTCTGCCATCAAAACGCTTCGATGGCTCCTTGGAAGGCTACGTCTTCAAGCTTGGAGACCAGGGACTGGGCTATTACATTGATTCCATGCAGCGAGCAGCTCTCACAGCAGAGCACAGCCAGCCAGCCACCGCCAGGGAGGTGCAGTGTGACCGTCTCTCCGCTTCACAAACTGCTTGGCCTAGCAGCATGAGCTCTGCGAACGAGGTGATGTTTCACGACGGCCCGCGCTTCGTGCTCGATGCGACCACGGCGCGCCAGCCACGGCAGCTGGCGGCACATGAACTCGAATTCCAGAGTCAGCTGGAGGCTGGTGGCCGCCTACTTGGCTTGGACATGGAATGGGAGCCCGACCGCTACAAAGGCCAGGACAACAAGGTCGCACTTGTTCAGATTGCTTTGGGCGGCGCCGTCTGGCTAGTGAGAACTTGTCAGATTCGACTCCCGGACTTCGTGCGGCGTGCGCTCGTGGACAGCTCAGTGATCAAAGGCGTCGCTTGCTTTGACGCTGCTGACCGTGAGAAGCTGAAGGCATCTTTCGGAATCCAGATTCCGAAGAATCCCGAGGCTGCGGGCTATGTGGACATCAGCTTGCTTGCCAAGGAGTGCAGTTTTCCTGGCTTCGGGGTCAAGAAGCTCTGCGATCGCTACGGGCTCCGCATCGAAAAGAATGTGAAGACCAGCTGCTCAAAGTGGGCAGCGGCCACATTGTCAGAAGCACAGGTGCAGTACGCCTGCGATGACGCCTACTTCACACTGCTGCTTCTGGGAAAGTTGCTGCAAGAAGGGTCGGTTCGGAAATCTGAGCTGCGCAGTCGGGCAAGGGCAGCCTGTGGCTCTGTACTCCCCACTGCGTGCCACAGCCTAGGCAGGAAGGACATGTCGAAGGAGTATGCCTTGCTTAAGGCCTTCCTGGAAGAGCTTTGTGAGGCCACCGCACGAGCCTGCAAGTGCAACGGCGAGGCCAAGATCCCGCTGAGCCAGTTGGGAGGCCTCCTTGACTCGGCTGGCACGGCATTCGTCAAGCGCGCGCAAATGCTGAATGTCTCCCTTTCCAAGAAGTTCCTCAAGGAGCAGCATCAGCTCTTCGTGATGAGCTCAAACGGGGGTGGGGATTTCGTGCGAGCGCGCTCTGCTGCTGAGAGAGCTCCTTTCAAGCAGGAGGAGCTCTCGCTGCCGTGGGCATCATCGCCAAAGATGTCCTTGCAGACTTGGTTGGCCCTTCAGCTTCAGCCTCCCATGGATCCGGTGGAGCTCTCAGGTCGACTCTGCCTTTTGGCCCGGGCACTCGACTCGGAGGGTGACTCAGCAGCAGCGGTTGAGCTCCGCGCACTTGCAAGCGAGGGGGTCCCATCGCAAGGATGCGCAGATGGCACTGCAAGCTCAAGCGACGAGCAGAAAACAACAGTGCCACCGCGTAAGGCCTTCGACCCCAAGACAACGGTGGTGGTCCGCGGCATCCCCAAGGATTGGACCCAGGAGGCTTTCAGGACCACCATGGAGCTCCAGTTTGGCTCGGTCAGCGAACTCCTCATGCCGAAAGACAAGGGAGGGCGGCACCGAGGCTTGGCCTTCGTCTCATTCCAACACCCTGCAGTGGCGGAGCAGATTCTGCAGAGCTCGCATGCTGCTGACGCATTGCGAGATGACGCTCAATTGACGTTCGATGCCTATATTCCCAGAGCGTAGGCTCTGCAGGTGTCGTCTTCGCTGAAGCTCTTTCTTTGGCCCCATTGGCTTGGCTTTCCGCTGCTCTTGCTGTGCTGTGCGCGCAGCTCTGATCATGTACAGTGTACAGTCGGTTTCCAGCACTGGCTGCCCGATGCGGCCCTAGTTCTAGTTGGCTTGGCTTTCTGCTGCACATGCCGCGCTGGGCGCGCAAGTGTGGCATGGACTGGCCAACGACACCCAACGAGTCAGGACTCTTGCAGGAACTCTCGTGTCTGCAATTGCGCGCAGGGTCCACGAGGGTCAACTGAACGGTAGGTACTCTGCCCAGATGAAAGTCCGCATGGCTTTTAAGACTCTTTTAAGACAAAGTGCAGGTACATCAACTCGGCGAACTGGGCGGTTGCCAAGACCTTCGCTCCCTCGGCATTCTCGCTCATTGCCACGCCACGCGGCTGTCCTCTGCAAACCATCAAGCCTGACCTCCGACGCCCCATAAGTCCTGTAAGTCCTGCGCCACAACATGCTTCTTTTTTCAAGAGTTCGGGGTCTCTTTGAACTCAGGCAGCTCAACACATCCTTCCAGGCCAGTGATGCTCTGCCACGCGGCCGCGAAAGCCTCCTAAACCTAAATCTCCCCCCTGTAGGGCTGCAGGGTTGTCGGCTCGAGTTTTCAACACCGAAGTGGACGGTTCAGCTTCAAACATTTTGGGCAACTCTGCAAGAAGAAGGTTTTGCTGGGATGGTTTGAGTCTATGTCGCAGGATTGGGTTAAAGCCCGACAAACTTGCCTTGGCAGACCCCCACCTCACGAAAGCAGGTTCAACATTCACAATATCAACTCCTTTTCCTTCACCGGTTAGGGGAGAATGCTCTTTCCATCCTACAGCAGATCCCCTCGGCCTACAGCCAGATGTCCGGTTTCCGACGGAAATGGTATGGCCTCAAGGGCTTCGGGTTCGCTAGCTGCTTGATCGGCTTTGCGACTGGGAATCGAGGTTCTCACTGCATTGCAATCCCACGGGGTGCTTCAGGAAAGTCTGCGCCCGGCTGATGTGTTGCGCCGTGGTGGGCTTCTTGGTGCAAGTTTGGATCTCCTAAGGCAGAAGCCCGAGATTGCTACAGGGTTTGTATGGATTGTGGTATATGAGGTTTCTGAAAATAGTTTTGCGCAGCCAATTGTCGAGTCTATGCTTCACAGAGGTTTTGGAAGACCCGACTCTTTTGCTCGACACGCAGGCAACCCCTGACCCTGAAGCTGCTCCCTCAGCCCCGGAAGTACACCTTAAGGTGACCTAATTAAGTACCCCCCCCCCCCCTCAAGTTGTCACCAAAGGGTACAAAGTCTTAAGCCCTAAACGCTAAACCCTAAACCCGAAACCCTAAACCCTAAACCCGAAACCCTAAGCCCTAAGCCCTAAGCCCTAAGCCCTAAACCTTAAACCCTAAACCCTCAACCCTAAACCCTAAAACCTAAACCCTAAATCCTAAACCTCGACTCGTTGAGGCTTCGTGCGTTCCCCGGACACCTGGGAACGCGCCCAGGCCTCCGAGCGATCGGAGCCACGGCTGCCATGGGCACGGGTTTAGGGTTTAGGGTTTCGGGTTTAGGGATTAAGGTTTCGGGTTTCGGGTTTAGGGTTTGGGGTTTAGGGTGTTAGGAAGCCCTAAAGGTGTTGGGCTTAGGCCTTAAACCCTAAAGCGGTTGAGGCGAGGGTGTTGCAAGCCCCATCATAAGCTTGACTGTAAAAGGTTTAGGTTTCTTTAACACAACCCCTGAAGCCCCAACAGATGTGGGTCTCGTGTACGACTCGTGCACGGCTCTATCCCGAGGTTCAGATGTACTGCGACATCCACCGACTGCTGCTGCAGCAACTCGACGAGGTTGCTGGCCGCCCCCGACCGTATGACTGACTCTAAAACCCTAAACCCTAAACCCTAAACCCTAAACCCTAAACCCTAAACCCTAAACCCTAAACCCTAAACCCTAAACCCTAAACCCTAAACCCTAAACCCTAAACCCTAAACCCTAAACCCTAAACCTAACCCTAAACCCTAAACCCTAAACCCTAAACCCTAAACCCTAAACCCTAAACCCTAAACCCTAAACCCTAAACCCTAAACCCTAAACCCTAAACCCTAAACCCTAAACCCTAAACCCTAAACCCTAAACCCTAAACTAAACCCTTAAACAAAGGGGCTCTCAACAGCAGCCCCGAGCCCCCCCCCCCCCCCCCCAAAGGGTCCCAGGCGTGGAACAAAGCTGCAACAGACCCTACGATTCTGATTTTTGCGGGGGGGAGCCTACATCCCCATAGACCCTACACAGGAAGCCCTACAACTTTCTAGGCCCTAAACCCTCAACCCCAAACCCCAACCCCTAAACCCTACAACCCCAAACCCTAATGCCCTTCCTCCTTTTTTTCGCAAAAGAACTTCCAAGCCGAGGATGGCCAAGGACTACCCGGCAATCTCGACCCTTGCAAGGGAGCAGGCCAGCCCGCAGGTCCCCCCCCCATCAATCGGTCCCCCCAAATTGGAGAATTCGGCTCCCTTTGCTAAAGTACTGGGCCTTTCATGCGCAGGTCCCCCCACTTAGGCCCAAAATAGTTAGGCTCCCTTGTGTTGCAATATGGGCCCTTATGTTTAGGGTACCTTGGAAGGGCCTACTTGTTTGGGAAGGTGGGGGGGGGGGGGGGGGCTGGGACCCCTAGTGGTGCCCACATCTCCCTTTCCAATTTAACACTCGGTTCCCACAGTCTTGCAGCTGGGACTCAAGGCACGTCATTGAAAGTGAAATGACAGTCCTTGCGACTTATCAGCCGTACCATGCACACATATCGTCGGCAGGCCGAAGACACTTTGAAAACACAGGGTTCTTGGGACTGTGACTTCCCAGAACGGTCTGCTTCGCAGACGCCTGGGCATCAGCAGACACATGCCAGGCGAAGACAGCGAAGACACGGCGTGTGAAGACACAGGCAAAGACGTTATGGCGTCCCGACGACGCATGGGCGTCAGAAGCCACTTCACGACAACACTTACCGGGCCAAGACATTTCCCGCCGGTGGGGAAGGCACTTCCTACACAGCGAAATGCGGCGTCACAAAGACACTTCCCCATGCAAGACAGGTCCGACGAAGACACCCGGCGTCGCGACCGCCGCGAAAGACACTTCCCGAAGACAGCTCCGAATAGCTCCGGCGAAGACACGTGGCATTGCCCGAAGAGACATTGAGCCATTCGAGCGGTGTCATGTTTGGCCGCTCCATGACATTCCGCTATGGGCTTTTTCGACGGATCAAGGAGCTTGGTGGGGGACTCCGATTTTCCATCCTCATCTGAGCACATGCCCGTATCTGTACAAGGAGCTTTCTGGGACTCCCATCCTACGTTTGGCACAGCGTCCAAGCCGCGAGCACATGCCTGTCACTGTACAAGGAACTTCCCTGGGGAGGACCCATGACGACCGCCGCTGGTATGCTATCCCAGTTCATTCGGCTTCTGAGGGACGCAAAAACTCAGCAAGCTCTTTGTATCTACTGCGGCCGCGACGATTCGCACAGAGGGGATCGTCGTATAAAGAGAGGATGATCGCTTGGCGTCCACAAAACACGGCAACGATGGCTCGCAAAGAGGGGATAGTCGCGAAGACGGGCTGATCGCACATGGCGAATATGGGAAAAAGTGTCGTCATCTTGCATTGTCCTTCAAGAGATGGACCCTGGCGCAAGCACGCCAAGCGGCATACTCGTAAACCTCTGAGCGCAGTATTCAGAAATCAACATATCGCCATACACATTATCACTGATATTACTGGTATTATCAATGCAAGGCCGCTTCTGAATTCTGTGAGATCACACCACCTTCGCAGTCTAACGCCCAGGCATCCCAGAATCATCCTAAACCCTGAACCGCAAACCCTAAACCCTAAACCCACAGCCCGCAAAGCCCGCAAGACCTGTGGCATGAAGATGAGGTGGAGGGATTCATCACGAGGCCGGAGATGCGGACTCGGAAAGGCCGGATGCTGTGAGACACTGTGGGTCTGAGGGATCTTGGTGCGTATGAGCGGCTAAGGTTAGTTCAGGATTCAGGCTTTGGAGTTGGGTTCTCATATTAGGCTTGGGGGGATGTGCACGCCGGATCAGCCATGAAGCCATCACAAGCCAGCTGCAGCTTGAATATTTGAGAATGGAGGAAAAGGGGGCTGCGAGTCTGGCAGAGCACGCTACAAGAGAGCAGCAAAAGGAGCCCAAGGTAAGTGTGTGTGATCTTGAGCTCACCCTTGCATTTGGAGACACGAAGATCGAAGGAATGATGCTGAGGGATTGAGGGCCCATGCCGTCTGCACGTATGAAGGGGCCATGGAAAGTGAGCGAGGGAGGATGACACGGGAATGGGCAGTTCCACGGTCGCGTGCCCCATGCGCGGAAGCTGCGTAGCTAGGCAGGAAGGCCGAAATCTTACATGATTCAGGAAAGCCTGCTTGACCCCCAGCCATGCATGAATCAAATGAATTGTGACGTACTGCTAGGCATCAACATGTAGTATCACGGAGGAGGGGGGGAAGAAGAGAGCGAGGGGAGGGGAGAAGGGGGAGGGGAGGGAGGGGGAGTCCAGTGGGAGTGACAGGAACCTCCGACCTTGGCTTGCTGATCGTGTACTTGCATCTGGGATGAAGTGTTTGCGCAAATTGACATGGTAGAAGTAAGGAACCGCTGGCTTTCGAACCTTCAGGGCTACGTCACAACTGCAGCAGAAGTCTCCTCCACACCCTGATTCCCAAGTTTTTGCAAGTAAGGCTCTGGGTTGAGTCGGGTATCCAAGGAGCTTGGTGGACGACATCCATTGGTCTGACATCTGGCACGTGTTTGTGCCCGAGATGGTCCGACGGGCCTTTGCCAGGCAGTGGATGCACGGTACATACTTGCGTCGCCCTGAAAAAGAGAAGGGGGCTTATAAACGAAGGGACCTCTAATATATAGTCCCCAAATAGTAGGACTCCTTTATAATGAGGA